ACTAAATATTGTATGCATATGACAACGTTCTTGTCAGTTGGCTCCATTAGAGTTAGTTCCTCTACCGGCAGAGTTCATGTTCCCTTCCCACCGGCATGAGCCGCATTCCCCGCCCGTTATCGCCTGGTCCGTTCCCTGTTTCCGACAGCTGTTCACTGTCTTGCACCCTGTTTGTAACTGTTCCGGACTGCTACAACCCTGTTTGTGACTGTTCCGGACAACTTCACGCTCGTTCGTGACTCTTCCAGACAACTTCACCCGCCTTCAAGAATGTTCAGGGGCCGCTTCCTCAACTTTCAAGACAGTTACAGACTGCTTCACCAGACGACTGTGGCTGCTCCAGATAGCTTCACCAGACGACTGTGGCTGCTCCAAACAGCTTCACCAGACGTCTGTGGCTGCTCCAGACAGCTTCACCTGACGTCTGTGGCTGTTCCAGAAAGCTTCACCTGACGTCTGTGGCTGCTCCAGACAGCTTCACCTGACGTCTGTGGCTGTTCCAGAAAGCTTCACCTGACGTCTGTGGCTGCTCCAGACAGCTTCACCAGACGTCTGTGGCTGCTGCAGACAGCTTCACTAAACGACTGTGGCTGCTCCAGACAGCTTCACCTGACGACTGTGGCTGCTCCAGACAGCTTCACCAGGCGACTGTGGCTGCTCCAGACAGCTTCACCTGACGACTGTCGCTGCTCCAGACAGCTTCATCAACGCCCCCGACTGAACCTGACAGAAGGGTGTCTTTTTTATATCCGTAGATTAATTAGGGGATCTGATTTTCCACAGGTCTTCTGTCGCTAATTGGAACTATCCAATTTTTATTCTGGATATTGAGAGCCAACTGGAGCCTCACCTTCAGGTCCTGTGCTGTGAGTCTTGAAATTCGAACGTGACCATTTGAAATCTTTTATTTTAGACTATTTTCTACCTGCCTCCCCTCCCCCCACTTTCCTCACAGTGATACGGTGAAATGGTGATATGACTGGACCATCACCGTAGGTTATCAGGATTTTCCAGTTCATATAAAGTGTGGGAACATGGCTCCGATAATGAATGTGGTGTGAGTTACGGATGTTAGAGAGAGAGAGAGAGAGAGAGAGAGAGAGAGAGAGAGAGAGAGAGAGAGAGAGAGAGAGAGAGAGAGAGAGAGAGAGAGAGAGAGAGAGAGAGAGAGACTGTATGGTGAGTGATTTATATTGAATTTGTTTATTTAGGGTGTGGGATTTTAACTGTCTGTGTGTGATTGTTTTTAGTTATTATCTGTGTCTGTCTCGTTGGACGTGTATGCTAATTTGTGTGCGCCCCCCCCCCCTAATGACCAAATACCCCGACAACAATTCTCTCTTTCGCTCTCTGTCTCTCTCTCGCTCTCGCTCTCTCGCTCTCTCTCTCTCTCTCTCTCTCTCTCTCTCTCTCTCTCTCTCTCTCTCTCTCTCTCTCTCTCTCTCTCTCTCTCTCTCTCTCTCTTCTCTCGCTCTCTCTCTCTCGCTCTCTCTCTCTCTCTAACCCCTCTCTCCCTCCCCCCTCTCCCCTCTCCCGTACCAGCGAGGCCTGGGAGTTTATATAGCCTGGTAACGGGCACTTCATCTTGTGTGTGGGGCTAGTCCATTATACTGCTAACATGAGCACTGCCTCATACACTCACTCACTCACGCACCCCACACACCCACCCACTCACACACCCAACACACCAACCACTCACATTCACACCCATAAAAGGCTGATGCATAAGCAGGAGAGACAGGTAGGAGTAACTGGTAGGGCGCTCCAGTGGATAAGGGAGTACCTAAGCAATAGGAAGCAGAGAGTTACAGTGAGGGGTGAAACCTCAGACTGGCGTGAAGTCACCAGTGGAGTCCCACAGGGCTCTGTACTCGGACCTATCCTGGTTTCTGATAAACGTAAATGATCTCCCGGAGGGTATAGACTCATTCCTCTCAATGTTTGCTGACGACGCCAAAATTATGAGAAGGATTAAGACAGAGGAGGACAGCTTGAGGCTTCTGGAAGACCTGGACAAGCTGCAGGAATAGTCGAACAAATAGTTATTAGAATTTAACCCAAGCAAATGTAAGGTAATGAAGATTGGTAGAGGGAACAGGAGACCAGATAAAAGGTATCATTTGGGAGATGAAATACTTCAAGAGTCAGAGAGAGAGAGAAAGACCTGGGGGTTGATATCACGCCAGACCTGTCCCCTGAAGCCCATATCAAGAGGATAACATCAGCGGCATATGCCTGGTTGGCTAACATAAGAACGGCCTTTAGAAACTTGTGTAAGGAATCTTTCAGAACTACCAATCCTGGAGTATGCAGGCCCAGCATGGAGTCCATATCTAGTCAAACATCAGACTAAACTGGAATAGGTTAAAAAAATTGCCACCAGATTAGTTCCCTAACTAAGGGGTATGAGCTACGAGGAGAGACTACGGGAGTTAAACATCACTTCACTGGGAGACAGAAGAATTAGGAGGGACATGGTCACCACATACAAGATTCTTAGAAGAATTGATAGGGTAGATAAAGACAGACTATTTAACACAAGGGGCACAGGCACTAAGGGACACAGGTGGAAATTGAGTGCCCAAATGAGCCATAGAGACGTTAGAAAGATTTTTTTCAGTGTCAGAGTAGTAGAAAAATGGAATGCATTAGGCAGGGATGTGGTGGAGGCTGACTCCATACACAGTTTCAAGTGTAGATATGATAGAGCCCAGTAGGCTCAGGAATCTGTACACCTGTTGATTGACAGTTGAGAGGCGGGACCAAAGAGCCAGAGCTCAACCCCCGCAAACACAAATAGGGGATTACAGCTCTCCATATACACAACACATCAGCAACACAACAAATCAATAACACACCTCCACAGCAACACACACAAACCAACAACACACCTCCACAGCAACACACACAAACCAACAACACACCTCCACAGCAACACACACAAACCAACAACACACCTCCACAGCAACACAACAAATCAATAACACACCTCCACAGCAACACACAACACACCAACAACACACCTCCACAGCAACACAACAAACCAACAACACACCTCCACAGCAACACACACAACAAACCAACAACACACCTCCACAGCAACACAACAAACCAACACCACACCTCCACAGCAACACACACAACACATCAACAACACACCTCCACAGCAACACAACAAACCAACACCACACCTCCACAGCAACACACACAACACATCAACAACACACCTCCACAGCAACACACACAAACCAACAACACACCTCCACAGCAACACACACACAAACCAACAACCACACCTCCACAGCAACACACACAACACCCCAACAACACACCTCCACAGCAACACACACACAAACCAACAACACACCTCCACAGCAACACAAACAAACCAACAACACACCTCCACAGCAACACAACAAACCAACAACACACCTCCACAGCAACACAACAAACCAACAACACACCTCCACAGCAACACACACAAACCAACAACACACCTCCACAGCAACACAACAAACCAACAACACACCTCCACAGCAACACAACAAACCAACAACACACCTCCACAGCAACACACCTTCACTGCAACACACACAACAAACCAACACCACACCTCCACAGCAACACACAACAACACACCTCCACAGCAACACACAACACCCCAACAACACACCTCCACAGCAACACACACAACAAACCAACACCACACCTCCACAGCAACACACCTACACAGCAACACACAACAACACACCTCCACATAACACACACAACACCCCAACAACACACCTCCACATAACACACACAACACCCCAACAACACACCTCCACAGCAACACACAACAAACCAACAACACACCTCCATAGCAACACACACAACACCCCAACACCACACCTCCACAGCAACACACCTCCACAGCAACACACCTCCACAGCAACACACCTCCACAGCAACACACCTCCACAGCAACACACCTCCACAGCAACACACAACAACACACCTCCACAGCAACACACCTCCACAGCAACACACCTCCACAGCAACACACCTCCACAGCAACACACAACAACACACCTCCACAGCAACCATCACAACACCCCAACAACACACCTCCACACAACAAACCAACAACACACCTCCATAGCAACACACACAACACCCCAACACCACACCTCCACAACAACACACCTCCACAGCAACACACCTCCACAGCAACACACCTCCACAGCAACACACAACAACACACCTCCACAGCAACCATCACAACACCCCAACAACACACCTCCACAGCAACACAACACGAAAATTTCCTCGCCTTTGTTATTGAAAATAATAACAGTTTATGATTCACTAATTACCCGGCTACCAATTAGGTAATTACCCTATGTGAGACAAGCGTGATTACTGTCGCATAAGTTTACCACAAGAATATAAGACGCATACAAAAATTCCCCCTGGAAGCTTTTAGTTAATTGGCGTCCCTTAATTTGCTTCTCGACCCCCCTAGACGGCATTGTCTTCCATATGAGTTGACTGTTTCAGGGCAAGAAGTTTTCCACACATAATTTGTCAGAGGGAACGTCAGTGGTCGGTAGGTGTCAGGAGGACTGTCTGACGGCGCAGCGAGGCCAGGAAGGGTCGAGGAAGGGCCAGGAAAGGCCAGGAAGGGCCAAGGAAGGGCCAAGGAAGGGCCAGGAAGGGCTAAGGAAGCACCAGAGAGAGCACTGAGGTTGAAGGTGTTTCTTAAAGACGCCAGAGGTTGGAGAACACTACTGTGGTCAGAGGGTGTGAGTCTGCGCCACCACACACACTGTGTCCCAGGGGGAGGGGTAGCTGTGATTGTACTCTGAGACAGTGAATTTATATATGTTTGGAGAGTAAGATGTTAAAATAACATCATGTGTGTTTGTGTATGTGGAGACAAAGATAACAGCGTATCTTAGTGTCTCTCTCTCTCTCCCCTGCTACGTCTCATCAACAATATTGATAATAACATCACTTACCACCTTTCTGGTCGGAGGCGGAGCGAGCGAGGAGGGAGAGGAAGAATAGAACTGGCAGCAGGCGACACCCGGAGGCTGCCATGGTCACTCTCCTGGCCAGGTGGACGACACAGCCTCCTCCAGCATCACTCTCCACCACACTGCTCCTCCTCCACACTGCTCCTCCTCCACTACTGCTCCTCCTGCACACTACCACACCCGGCTCCCCACGCCACAACACTCTTAAGGGATATCTGTGATATCCTTTTTACTTATCTATGCATTAAGTGAATATTCTTATCCTGAATATTTTCTAAACCAATATTTATATGAACAGTTTCCAGTTTTTGTATAAGATTTCTTTGGAGTAGGTTCTCTATATTACCCAGGTTTCTAATGCTTTTTGTCAAGTTTCTGGGTTTCACTTATGAGGTATTTTTGCCTTGTCTTTAGTATGTTTGAAAATATAGCTTAATGGTGATTCTTGAATTGTGTCGTCTTGCAAATATTCATATTTCACTACAGGGAGAAATGTCGACGATTACTGTACTGGTGTTTATTGACTCAGTTGTGTATATTGTTCTCACAAGTAGACGCCAGGCAGAGCCTACCTTCCAGGCAAGCTTAGCCTTGCACTTCAGGTGTATTTGACTTTAAACCAGGTCAACTGCACCATGCACTCCAAGTTGGTTTCTCACTTCAGGTTCAACATGCACATTCTGACACCCCAAGGGTCATATAAAAACCAGTATTTTTTTATATAAAACTAAACATTATTTAAAGATATAAGAAACATTAACCACTTTATACAAAAACAAAATTCTTATGCTTCATCGTCTCGCCTGTGTCGTCTTCGTAATTGACGGTCAACTCCCTGAACTTTTCTCTCTCTCATTATTCTGTAACCAGAGTTCCTTTCACTCTGTAGTCTGGAGTCCGAGTTCTCGTGGTACCGCACTTATTAAACTGTAGTTTATGGCATCAAAGCACTGTGCTGCATTGTTTCCCTGCTTTGCATTCTATTGTGTTGCAAATTGCGCGAGTATATATTGGGTAATATTGCAGTTTCATGGTGAGTATTAACTCGTGTTGGGCCACAAATCGCGTTGGTCTGCGCTCTTGTGAATTGTGTTATGACCATGCGTCTCCCTCTGCCCAGGCGTCGAGCTGCACCAGTTATCGTCATCACTAGCTAGGGTCATCACTGGTTATCGTCACCGCTAGTTATCGTCATCACCAGCTAGCTGTCATCACACAATTTGACCCTGAAAAGAACAAAGAACACATTATTACTCAAATATACATGGTTTATGGTATCTCTCCCCCCCCCCCTCCTATTTTGCTACAATTTTATATATATATATATAACTGAAAACTCACACCCCAGAAGTGATTCGAACCCATACTCCCAGGAGCCACGCAACTGGTATGTACAAGACGCCTTAATCCACTTGACCATCACGACCGGACATAATGAGGTGATAGCCGAGGCTATTTGAACCACCCCACCGCCGGCACTCGGATAGTAATCTTGGGCATAGCATTTTACCAAATCACCTCATTCTTTGGGGCACACGTGAGGAACACAAATGCGAACAAGCCTGAATGGTCCCCAGGACAATATGCAACTGAAAACTCACACCCCAGAAGTGATTCGAACCCATACTCCCAGGAGCCACGCAACTGGTATGTACAAGACGCCTTAATCCACTTGACCATCACGACCGGACATAATGAGGTGATAGCCGAGGCTATTTGAACCACCCCACCGCCGGCACTCGGATAGTAATCTTGGGCATAGCATTTTACCAAATCACCTCATTCTTTGGGGCACACGTGAGGAACACAAATGCGAACAAGCCTGAATGGTCCCCAGGACAATATGCAACTGAAAACTCACACCCCAGAAGTGATTCGAACCCATACTCCCAGGAGCCACGCAACTGGTATGTACAAGACGCCTTAATCCACTTGACCATCACGACCGGACATAATGAGGTGATAGCCGAGGCTATTTGAACCACCCCACCGCCGGCACTCGGATAGTAATCTTGGGCATAGCATTTTACCAAATCACCTCATTCTTTGGGGCACACGTGAGGAACACAAATGCGAACAAGCCTGAATGGTCCCCAGGACAATATGCAACTGAAAACTCACACCCCAGAAGTGATTCGAACCCATACTCCCAGGAGCCACGCAACTGGTATGTACAAGACGCCTTAATCCACTTGACCATCACGACCGGACATAATGAGGTGATAGCCGAGGCTATTTGAACCACCCCACCGCCGGCACTCGGATAGTAATCTTGGGCATAGCATTTTACCAAATCACCTCATTCTTTGGGGCACACGTGAGGAACACAAATGCGAACAAGCCTGAATGGTCCCCAGGACAATATGCAACTGAAAACTCACACCCCAGAAGTGATTCGAACCCATACTCCCAGGAGCCACGCAACTGGTATGTACAAGACGCCTTAATCCACTTGACCATCACGACCGGACATAATGAGGTGATTTGGTAAAATGCTATGCCCAAGATTACTATCCGAGTGCCGGCGGTGGGGTGGTTCAAATAGCCTCGGCTATCACCTCATTATGTCCGGTCGTGATGGTCAAGTGGATTAAGGCGTCTTGTACATACCAGTTGCGTGGCTCCTGGGAGTATGGGTTCGAATCACTTCTGGGGTGTGAGTTTTCAGTTGCATATTGTCCTGGGGACCATTCAGGCTTGTTCGCATTTGTGTTCCTCACGTGTGCCCCAAAGAATGAGGTGATTTGGTAAAATGCTATGCCCAAGATTACTATCCGAGTGCCGGTGGTGGGGTGGTTCAAATAGCCTCGGCTATCACCTCATTATGTCCGGTCGTGATGGTCAAGTGGATTAAGGCGTCTTGTACATACCAGTTGCGTGGCTCCTGGGAGTATGGGTTCGAATCACTTCTGGGGTGTGAGTTTTCAGTTGCATATTGTCCTGGGGACCATTCAGGCTTGTTCGCATTTGTGTTCCTCACGTGTGCCCCAAAGAATGAGGTGATTTGGTAAAATGCTATGCCCAAGATTACTGTCCGAGTGCCGGCGGTGGGGTGGTTCAAATAGCCTCGGCTATCACCTCATTATGTCCGGTCGTGATGGTCAAGTGGATTAAGGCGTCTTGTACATACCAGTTGCGTGGCTCCTGGGAGTATGGGTTCGAATCACTTCTGGGGTGTGAGTTTTCAGTTGCATATTGTCCTGGGGACCATTCAGGCTTGTTCGCATTTGTGTTCCTCACGTGTGCCCCAAAGAATGAGGTGATTTGGTAAAATGCTATGCCCAAGATTACTATCCGAGTGCCGGCGGTGGGGTGGTTCAAATAGCCTCGGCTATCACCTCATTATGTCCGGTCGTGATGGTCAAGTGGATTAAGGCGTCTTGTACATACCAGTTGCGTGGCTCCTGGGAGTATGGGTTCGAATCACTTCTGGGGTGTGAGTTTTCAGTTGCATATTGTCCTGGGGACCATTCAGGCTTGTTCGCATTTGTGTTCCTCACGTGTGCCCCAAAGAATGAGGTGATTTGGTAAAATGCTATGCCCAAGATTACTATCCGAGTGCCGGCGGTGGGGTGGTTCAAATAGCCTCGGCTATCACCTCATTATGTCCGGTCGTGATGGTCAAGTGGATTAAGGCGTCTTGTACATACCAGTTGCGTGGCTCCTGGGAGTATGGGTTCGAATCACTTCTGGGGTGTGAGTTTTCAGTTGCATATTGTCCTGGGGACCATTCAGGCTTGTTCGCATATATATATATATATATATATATATATATATATATATAATCAGGTTACGAGGCTCCACACTCCCTCACATCTGATTATTACCTCACAATGAGGGAATTTCAGCCCTCTATGAGGCCTGAACTTTAGCCTGTGGCAAGTTTCATCAAGTGTTCTCCCCCAAGAATCTCTTTTACGAAATTCTCAGGAACATAATTACCTCATTTAGATAATTAAATGTGATTGCATGCAATATGTTTATACGTATACTACTGACCATTTCATTTATTTATTATTCACCCCATACCCATCCTGTGGGCGATGATCGACAGGGTTACAAAGGCACATAATGGGCTCAGGGACTGAACCCATTAGTTCGCTTAGCTATGCAAGTGACAGTCTTGTGAAGTTAGCTACACAATTGTAAATGTTACACATGCATTTATATATGCATTTACATACATATACATACGTGTATGCACATAAATGTATACATATATACATATCAATAGTCTTTTTACATCACAAGTGATTCAAGAAGATGAACACAATACTCAAAACCTATTAAAATGGTAATTTTGTTGTGCAAAACACAAAGTTTTTGTTTTGTTGTGTAGTGTTTACAGCACTCTCGTGTGTTGAAACATCACACGAGATGCTTCATGTATGGTAAACTATGGTAAATATTCTTGCGAGATGTAACGAGTAAATGCTTCAGCAGGAACTTGCTTGTCAATATCTGACATCAGAAACCTGAGGTATGCAAATAGTTATATATATATTATCAGCATCCAGCATATGACAAATAATCGTATACACTAAAAGTACAAAAGAAACCAACTTATTTATATTTTCTAACACAAATACTAGAAATTAATGATGTGTAACTGGACCTTTAGATTACTTTGTTCAAAATCGGTCCTCTGCCAGGCCTCTGAAGGAGGAATAATAATTAACATAAAGGCTTATCTGGGCCAGCTCAGGTAAGGTCCTCATCACAGACGTTATCAGACGTATTCACTCACCCAGAGGAGTTAAGGGTCGTATGTTGTAGAAATGCTCCTCTCTACAACACCCTCCGCACCTGAGATGAGAGATTCCCGGGCATAACTAGCGTTTAAGATTACCGTAGGAGTGTGTGATAATGGCTAGGTAAAGACTCTGTAATACGGGTTTCCTGTTTGTTTCACAAGAACCTTTCAGATTTAAGATGGTGCATAGATCGGCATTGCCGTTACGCGACACGTCGACAACGACGTCGCTGTAAGTCATGCGAGGGCGCTCTAATGTTGGTTTCGACCATCTGAAATTAGCTTGTAGAGCTCTGGATTGTATTAAGACAGAACCAGTTATTTTGAGCAACGAAGGCCTTTTAGTGAATCCAGACAGCCTTCCGCCTTCACTCCTCAGCCTGACTCGCAGTTCCAGCCAGAAAGTTGAGAGAAAAGACCTAATTTACGTCATCTGAGGTGCTCTTCAGGTCACATTTGGAAAGGATCTCATCAAGTCATGTAAAGTGCGGACTGTGCTTCTCAGGTTAAGTCTCTCCATGGATCAGTAAAGTCGGAAGTGGCCACTGGAAACCTGGAGCCACGAGCCGTGATAGTGTGAAAGTGTCTCAATATGTTCCTGTACTATTTTGCGCGTCCAAAGAAGGAGGAACTGAGGGCAACAGACGAAGAACGAGGACCCTATAATAAGGTACAGTTAGTGAAAGCTATAGTGACACTTTTCTTGCAGTGAACTTGACGTCAGAACAATGTGATGCTCCGGTGCACTTGTGATAGCTCAGCACTTGACGTTACTAACTCATGACTACTCTTACTTTATGATTTTTAAAACTAGAAAACTGCCCAACGTGACGTGAAGTATTTGTTATATATTTTTATGAGTATATCATATGAGATAAGTATTGAAACTATTTAAGATAAGTAAAGAAAGATAAGAAAGATTACTGACGCTAGGAGGGAGTGTTTCGTGAAGCCTGTGAGTATCATCAGAAACAAAGGCAAATGGCAGTAATTTAGCGTAGCGGGGGCAGCGGAGTACATCACCAGGAGATGGGATGTGAGCTGGATCTTGAGGATGATAGTATTTACCCAAGCGTGAGCTGCGCGACATAATTGGATATAATCGATTTGTAGCGCTTCACTGATGTTTGATCTTCTGTTGTCTTTACATCTACAGCGACAGTAGACGACTCCTAACAAGTCAACATCATCCCTGCAACACTGTAGAATGTTGCCACTCATGTGTTGACCTGGCCCAGTGGCCATATTATTTTGTCTTGTTTGTATTATTGCTAATGTTTCCTCACCTGCACATATGACCTGCCATCACCTTTCCCGGGTGCATGTTGCTGCAAGTTGAACAGTGACCCTCTTAGTAGTGTGTGCTTCATCTTTCCATAGGCAAAGGTTAGTGGACATAAGATAAAAAAGGGAACAAGCACACTGCTCTAAGGTCTGCTGACGCCAACTGAGGGAGTTGAGATTCTCGTCCAGTGACGACAACCCTTTCAGCTTGTAGCATGTACCTGTAAGCAGCTTTGTTATGGTCTATTGTGCCATTTCCAGCATATCACCACGTGGCACCACGGTAGCGAGGCCGTGGCACCATCGTAGCGAGACCGTGGCACCACTGTAGCGAGGCCGTGGCACCACCGTAGCCAGACGGTAACACCACTGTAGCCAGAGTGGTACCTGGTTGATACCTGGTTAATGGTAGCTACCTGGTAGCGCATGTCGACAGCGACATGCTGGTAGCGACATGCTGGCATGCGACATGTTGTCGCTGGTAGCGACATGCGCTACCTGGTAGCGCATGTCGTCGGCAGACAGGAGCACGTAATTTCCTGTGTCTGGTCATTTATTAATCAGCGTGTGTGGGTGGTGCTGGGGGTCTCCTCCCGGGGCTCTTGTATTCACTCTCACTCACTCACTCACTCACTCACTCACTCACTCACTCACTCACTCACTCACACACACACACACACACACACACACACACACACACACACACACACACACACACACACACACACACACGGGATGGGATATGAAGAACGTCTGAAGGAACTGAACCTTACGACACTAGAGAAAAGAAGGGAGAGAGGAGATATGATAGGAACATGTAAAATACTCAAGGGAATTGACAAAGTGGAAATAGATGAAATGTTCACACGTAATAATAACAGAACGAGGGGACGTGGGTGGAAACTGGAAACTCAGATGAGACACAGAGATGTTAGGAAGTTTTCTTTTAGCGTGAGAGTAGTGGGAAAATGGAATGCACTTGGGGAACAGGTTGTGGAAGCAAACTCTATTCATACTTTTAAAATTAGGTATGATAGGGAAATGGGACAGAAGTCATCGATGTAAACAACCGATGGCTGGAAAGGCGGGATCCAAGAGCCAATGCTCGATCCTGCAAGCACAAATAAGTGAGTAAACACACACACACACACACACACACACACACACACACACACACACACACACACATTTGCCACGGAAAGCTCTCTTTAGCCGGGGGGTTTTCTCCTCACCAGGGGGTTTTCTCCTCACCAGGGGGTTTTCTCCTCGCCAGGGGGTTTTCTCCTCGCCAGAGGGTTTTCTCCTCACCTGGGTTTTCTCCTCGCCAGGGGGTTTTCTGCTCCCCAGGGGGGGTTTTCTCCTCACCAGGGGGTTTTCTGCTCGCCAGGGGGTTTTCTCCTCACCAGGTGGTTTTCTCCTCACCAGGGGGTTTTCTCCTCGCCAGCGGGTTTTCTCCTCACCAGGGGGTTTTCTCCTCGTCAGCGGGTTTTCTCCTCACCAGGAGGTTTTCTCCTCACCTGGGGGTTTTCTCCTCGCCAGCGGGTTTTCTCCTCACCAGGGGGTTTTCTCCTCACCAGGGGGTTTTCTCCTCACCAGGGGGTTTTCTCCTCACCAGGGGGTTTTCTCCTCCCCAGGGGGTTTTCTCCTCGCCAGCGGGTTTTCTCCTCAACAGGGGTTTTCTCCTCTCCAGGGGGTTTTCTCCTCGCCAGCGGGTTTTCTCCTCACCAGGGGGTTTTCTCCTCACCCGGGGGTTTTCTCCTCGCCAGCGGGTTTTCTCCTCACCAGGGGGTTTTCTCCTCGCCAGCGGGTTTTCTCCTCACCAGGGGTTTTCTCCTCGCCAGCGGGTTTTCTCCTCACCAGGGGGTTTTCTCCTCGCCAGCGGGTTTTCTCCTCACCAAGGGGGTTTCTCCTCACCAGGGGGTTTTCTCCTCACCAGGGGGTTTTCTCCTCGCCAGCGGGTTTTCTCCTCACCAGGGGGTTTTCTCCTCGCCAGCGGGTTTTCTCCTCACCAGGGGGTTTTCTCCTCACCAGGGGGTTTTCTCCTCACCAGGGGGTTTTCTCCTCACCAGGGGGGTTTTCTCCTCACCAGGGGGTTTTCTCCTCACTAGGGGGTTTTCTCCTCGCCAGGGGGTTTTCTCCTCACCAGGGGGGTTTCTCCTCACCAGGGGGTTTTCTGCTCGCCAGGGGGTTTTCTCCTCACCAGGTGGTTTTCTCCTCACCAGGGGGTTTTCTCCTCGCCAGCGGGTTTTCTCCTCACCAGGGGGTTTTCTCCTCGTCAGCGGGTTTTCTCCTCACCAGGAGGTTTTCTCCTCACCTGGGGGTTTTCTCCTCGCCAGCGGGTTTTCTCCTCACCAGGGGGTTTTCTCCTCACCAGGGGGTTTTCTCCTCACCAGGGGGTTTTCTCCTCACCAGGGGGTTTTCTCCTCCCCAGGGGGTTTTCTCCTCGCCAGCGGGTTTTCTCCTCAACAGGGGTTTTCTCCTCTCCAGGGGGTTTTCTCCTCGCCAGCGGGTTTTCTCCTCACCAGGGGGTTTTCTCCTCACCCGGGGTTTTCTCCTCGCCAGCGGGTTTTCTCCTCACCAGGGGGTTTTCTCCTCGCCAGCGGGTTTTCTCCTCACCAGGGGGTTTTCTCCTCGCCAGCGGGTTTTCTCCTCACCAGGGGGTTTTCTCCTCGCCAGCGGGTTTTCTCCTCACCAAGGGGGTTTCTCCTCACCAGGGGGTTTTCTCCTCACCAGGGGGTTTTCTCCTCGCCAGCGGGTTTTCTCCTCACCAGGGGGTTTTCTCCTCGCCAGCGGGTTTTCTCCTCACCAGGGGGTTTTCTCCTCACCAGGGGGGTTTTCTCCTCACCAGGGGGTTTTCTCCTCACCAGGGGGGTTTTCTCCTCACCAGGGGGTTTTCTCCTCACTAGGGGGTTTTCTCCTCGCCAGGGGGTTTTCTCCTCACCAGGGGGGTTTCTCCTCACCAGGGGGTTTTCTCCTCACCAGGGGGTTTTCTCCTCGCCAGGGGTTTTTCTCTTCGCCAGGGGGTTTCTCCTCGCCTGGGGGTTTTCTCCTCGCCAGGGGGTTTTCTCCTCACCAGGGGGGTTTTCTCCTCACCAGGGGGTTTTCTCCTCACCAGGGGGGTTTTCTCCTCACCAGGGGGTTTTCTCCTCACTAGGGGGTTTTCTCCTCACCAGGGGGTTTTCTCCTCACCAGGGGGTTTTCTCCTCACCAGGGGGTTTTCTCCTCACCAGGGGGTTTTCTCCTCACCAGGGGGTTTTCTCCTCACCAGGGGGTTTTCTCCTCACCAGGGGGTTTTCTCCTCACCAGGGGGTTTTCTCCTCACCAGGGGGTTTTCTCCTCACCAGGGGGTTTTCTCCTCACTAGGGGGTTTTCTCCTCACCAGGGGGTTTTCTCCTCACCAGGGGGTTTTCTCCTCACCAGGGGGTTTTCTCCTCACCAGGGGGTTTCGTGGTGAGTTCTCATGACAATGCGTCAGCAACTCTGTAAATATCAGGTTGGTTAAACTTGGTTCTTCCTCAAGTTTGGCCGCTGATTGTGGCGACTGTGTACGTGTCTTGCTGGGTTGTGGCGACTGTGTACGTGTCTTGCTGGGTTGTGGCGACTGTGTACGTGTCTTTCTGGACTGTGGCGACTGTGTACGTGTCTGTCTGGGCTGTGGCGACTGTGTACGTGTCTTGCTGGGCTGTGGCGACTGTGTACGTGTCTTGCTGGGCTGTGGCGACTGTGTACGTGTCTTTCTGGACTGTGGCGACTGTGTACGTGTCTGTCTGGGCTGTGGCGACTGTGTACGTGTCTTGCTGGACTGTGACGACTGTGTACGTGTCTTTCTGGCCTGTGGCGACTGTGTACGTGTCTGTCTGGGCTGTGGCGACTGTGTACGTGTCTAGCTGGACTGTGGCGACTGTGTACGTGTCTTTCTGGACTGTGGTGACTGTGTACGTGTCTGTCTGGGCTGTGGCGACTGTGTACGTGTCTTTCTGGGCTGTGACGACTGTGTACGTGTCTAGCTGGACTGTGGCGACTGTGTACGTGTCTTTCTGGACTGTGGCGACTGTGTACGTGTCTTTCTGGACTGTGGTGACTGTGTACGTGTCTTGCTGGACTGTGGCGACTGTGTACGTGTCTTTCTGGACTGTGGTGACTGTGTACGTGTCTTGCTGGACTGTGGCGACTGTGTACGTGTCTGTCTGGGCTGTGGCGACTGTGTACGTGTCTTGCTGGACTGTGGTGACTGTGTACGTGTCTAGCTGGACTGTGGCGACTGTGTACGTGTCTAGCTGGACTGTGGTGACTGTGTACGTGTCTGTCTGGGCTGTGGCGACTGTGTACGTGTCTTTCTGGGCTGTGGCGACTGTGTACGTGTCTTCCTGGACAGTGCCGACTGTGTACGTGCCGTTCTGGATGGACGTAGTCGTGCATGTGGCTACAGTCGATGCCAGTTTGGAAAAAGAATATTTAAATTAACTTGAAGTGAACATATTTTTGCTGTAAGAATATTTCTGAACATGAACCTTGCTGATGTCTGGGATGTTATGTTATTATTGCTTTCCTGTGTTGTGGTTTGTGGGTCCCGGGTGTGCTGGTTTGTGGGTCCCGGGTGTGCTGGTTTGTAGGTCCCGGGTGTGCTAGTTTGTGGGTCCTGGGTGTGTTAGTTTGTGGGTCCCGGGTGTGGTAGTTTGTGGGTCCTGGGTGTGCTAGTTTGTGGGTCCTGGGTGTGCTAGTTTGTGGGTCCCGGGTGTGTTAGTTTGTGGGTCCCGGGTGTGCTAGTTTGTGGGTCCTGGGTGTGCTAGTTTGTGGGTCCCGGGTGTGGTAGTTTGTGGGTCCTGGGTGTGCTAGTTTGTGGGTCCTGGGTGTGCTAGTTTGTGGGTCCCGGGTGTGTTAGTTTGTGGGTCCCGGGTGTGCTAGTTTGTGGGTCCTGGGTGTGCTAGTTTGTGGGTCCCGGGTGTGTTAGTTTGTGGGTCGCGGGTGTGGTAGTTTGTGGGTCCTGGGTGTGCTAGTTTGTGGGTCCTGGGTGTGCTAGTTTGTGGGTCCTGGGTGTGGTAGTTTGTGGGTCCGGGTGTGGTAGTTTGTGGGTCCTGGGTGTGCTAGTTTGTGGGTCCTGGGTGTGGTAGTTTGTGGGTCCTGGGTTGGCTAGTTTGTGGGTCCCGGGTGTGGTAGTTTGTGGGTCCTGGGTGGGCTAGTTTGTGGGTCCCGGGTGTGCTAGTTTGTGGGTCCTGGGTGTGGTAGTTTGTGGGTCCTGGGTGTGCTAGTTTGTGGGTCCCGGGTGTGTTAGTTTGTGGGTCCCGGGTGTGCTAGTTTGTGGGTCCTGGGTGTGCTAGTCTGTGGGTCCCGGGTGTGTTACTTTGTAGGTCCTGGGTCCTCTTGGTAGTCTCAACTGCTACATGTAAAGGGTCCTGGGTGTGTTAGTTTGTGGGTCCCGGGTGTGGTAGTTTGTGGGTCCTGGGTCCTCTTGGTAGTCTCAACTGCTACATGTAAAGGGTCCTGGGTGTGTTAGTTTGTGGGTCCCGGGTGTGGTAGTTTGTGGGTCCTGGGTGTGCTAGTTTGTGGGTCCTGGGTGTGCTAGTTTGTGGGTCCCGGGTGTGTTAGTTTGTGGGTCCCGGGTGTGCTAGTTTGTGGGTCCTGGGTGTGCTAGTTTGTGGGTCCCGGGTGTGTTAGTTTGTGGGTCCCGGGTGTGCTAGTTTGTGGGTCCTAGGTGTGTTAGTTTGTGGGTCCCGGGTGTGGTAGTTTGTGGGTCCTGGGTGTGCTAGTTTGTGGGTCCTGGGTGTGCTAGTTTGTGGGTCCCGGGTGTGTTAGTTTGTGGGTCCCGGGTGTGCTAGTTTGTGGGTCCTGGGTGTGCTAGTTTGTGGGTCCCGGGTGTGTTAGTTTGTGGGTCGCGGGTGTGGTAGTTTGTGGGTCCTGGGTGTGCTAGTTTGTGGGTCCTGGGTGTGCTAGTTTGTGGGTCCTGGGTGTGGTAGTTTGTGGGTCCCGGGTGTGCTAGTTTGTGGGTCCTGGGTGTGCTAGTTTGTGGGTCCCGGGTGTGTTAGTTTGTGGGTCGCGGGTGTGGTAGTTTGTGGGTCCTGGGTGTGCTAGTTTGTGGGTCCCGGGTGTGCTGGTTTGTGGGTCCCGGGTGTGTTAGTTTGTGGGTCCCGGGTGTGCTGGTTTGTGGGTCCCGGGTGTGTTAGTTTGTGGGTCCCGGGTGTGTTAGTTTGTGGGTCCCGGGTGTGCTAGTTTGTGGGTCCTGGGTGTGTTAGTTTGTGGGTCCCGGGTGTGGTAGTTTGTGGGTCCTGGGTGTGCTAGTTTGTGGGTCCTGGGTGTGCTAGTTTGTGGGTCCCGGGTGTGGTAGTTTGTGGGTCCCGGGTGTGGTAGTTTGTGGGTCCCGGGTGTGGTAGTTTGCGGGTCCTGGGTGTGGTAGTTTGTGGGTCCCGGGTGTGGTAGTTTGTGGGTCCCGGGTGTGTTAGTTTGTAGGTCCTGGGTGTGTTAGTTTGTGGGTCCCGGGTGTGGTAGTTTGTGGGTCCCGGGTGTGGTAGTTTGTGGGTCCCGGGTGTGGTAGTTTGCGGGTCCCGGGTGTGTTAGTTTGTAGGTCCTGGGTCCTCTTGGTAGTCTCAACTGCTACATGTAAATGTGTTCTTGTCACGTTCCAATCATTCTCTTGTTCTTCAACCACTTGGGGCGGACGGTAGAATGACGGTCTCGCTTCATGCAGGTTGGCGTTCAATCCCCGACAGTCCAAGTGGTTGGGCCCCATTCCCATCTCCCCCCCCCCTCCCCGTCCCATCTCAAATCCTAATCCTGACCCCTTCTAAGTGCTATACAGTCGTAATGGCTTATCGCTTTCCCCTGATAGTTACCTCCATTTTTATCCCTTCCTTCATATGTTTTTATTTTTTTAGTAATTTCTTTCCTGTATTTCAATTCGTCTTGAGATAATCCTCAGTACTTTACTGTAACTTGCTTCTTGGATTGGTTTCTGTCGAAATTGTCACTGTCTACTCCTGTCTACTGTGTCCACTGTCTACTCTGACAGACTGAAAATATTGCTTTAAACTCTGAAACTGACTAGTTGAAAGGACTGAAATCTTTCAGTCATGTTCTTGACTGAATAACATCAGTGTGACTGGTTATTATTAAAGACAGAAACCGATAGGTAAAGCTTTCCTGGTTTCAGTGTGATTGTTATGTAAGCTTGTGAGTCTTGGGTTAAAGCCTTAGCCTAGAATGTGAGTCTTGGGTTAAAGCCTTAGCCTGGAGTGTGAGCCTTGGGTTAAAGCCTTAGCCTAGAATGTGACCCTTGGGTTAAAGCCTTAGCCTAGAATGTGAGTCTTGGGTTAAAGCCTTAGCCTAGAATGTGAGTCTTGGGTTAAAGCCTTAGCCTAGAATGTGAGTCTTGGGTTAAAGCCTTAGCCTAGAATGTGAGTCTTGGGTTAAAGCCTTAGCCTAGAATGTGAGCCTTGGGTTAAAGCCTTAGCCTAGAATGTGAGCCTTGGGTTAAAGCCTTAGCCTAGAATGTGAGTCTTGGGTTAAAGCCTTAGCCTAGAATGTGAGTCTTGGGTTAAAGCCTTAGCCTAGAATGTGAGTCTTGGGTTAAAGCCTTAGCCTAGAATGTGAGTCTTGGGTTAAAGTCTTAGCCTAGAATGTGAGTCTTGGGTTAAAGCCTTAGCCTAGAATGTAAGCCTTGGGTTAAAGCCTTAGCCTGGAAAGTGAGCCTTGGGTTAAAGCCTTAGCCTAGAATGTGACCCTTGGGTTAAAGCCTTAGCCTAGAATGTGAGTCTTGGGTTAAAGCCTTAGCCTAGAATGTGAGTCTTGGGTTAAAGCCTTAGCCTAGAATGTGAGCCTTGGGTTAAAGCCTTAGCCTAGCATGTGACCCTTGGGTTAAAGCCTTAGCCTAGAATGTGAGTCTTGGGTTAAAGCCTTAGCCTAGAATGTGAGTCTTGGGTTAAAGCCTTAGCCTGGAGTGTGAGCCTTGGGTTAAAGCCTTAGCCTAGAATGTGACCCTTGGGTTAAAGCCTTAGCCTAGAATGTGAGTCTTGGGTTAAAGCCTTAGCCTAGAATGTAAGCCTTGGGTTAAAGCCTTAGCCTGGAAAGTGAGCCTTGGGTTAAAGCCTTAGCCTAGAATGTGACCCTTGGGTTAAAGCCTTAGCCTAGAATGTGAGTCTTGGGTTAAAGCCTTAGCCTAGAATGTGAGTCTTGGGTTAAAGCCTTAGCCTAGAATGTGAGCCTTGGGTTAAAGCCTTAGCCTAGAATGTGACCCTTGGGTTAAAGCCTTAGCCTAGAATGTGACCCTTGGGTTAAAGCCTTAGCCTAGAATGTGAGTCTTGGGTTAAAGCCTTAGCCTAGAATGTAAGCCTTGGGTTAAAGCCTTAGCCTGGAAAGTGAGCCTTGGGTTAAAGCCTTAGCCTAGAATGTGACCCTTGGGTTAAAGCCTTAGCCTAGAATGTGAGTCTTGGGTTAAAGCCTTAGCCTAGAATGTGAGTCTTGGGTTAAAGCCTTAGCCTAGAATGTGAGTCTTGGGTTAAAGCCTTAGCCTAGAATGTAGCCTTGGGTTAAAGCCTCAGCCTAGAATGTAAGCCTTGGGTTAAAGCCTTAGCCTAGAATGTGAGCCTTGGGTTAAAGCCTCAGCCTAGAATGTAAGCCTTGGGTTAAAGCCTTAGCCTAGAATGTAAGCCTTGGGTTAAAGCCTTAGCCTAGAATGTAAGCCTTGGGTTAAAGCCTTAGCCTAGAATGTAAGCCTTGGGTTAAAGCCTTAGCCTAGAATGTAAGCCTTGGGTTAAAGCCTTAGCCTAGAATGTTAAAAGCCTTAGCCTAGAATGTAAGCCTTGGGTTAAAGCCTTAGCCTAGAATGTAAAAGCCTTAGCCTAGAATGTGACCCTTGGGTTAAAGCCTTAGCCTAGAATGTAAGCCTTGGGTTAAAGCCTTAGCCTAGAATGTAATTGGGTGCCTTAGCCTAGAATGTGACTTGGGTTAAAGCCTTAGCCTAGAATGTAAGCCTTGGGTTAAAGCCTTAGCCTGGAATGTGACCCTTGGGTTAAAGCCTTAGCCTAGAATGTGACCCTTGGGTTAAAGCCTTAGCCTAGAATGTGACCCTTGGGTTAAAGCCTTAGCCTAGAATGTAAGCCTTGGGTTAAAGCCTTAGCCTAGAATGTAAGCCTTGGGTTAAAGCCTTAGCCTAGAATGTGACCCTTGGGTTAAAGCCTTAGCCTAGAATGTAAGCCTTGGGTTAAAGCCTTAGCCTAGAATGTGACCCTTGGGTTAAAGCCTTAGCCTAGAATGTAAGCCTTGGGTTAAAGCCTTAGCCTAGAATGTAAGCCTTGGGTTAAAGCCTTAGCCTAGAATGTGACCCTTGGGTTAAAGCCTTAGCCTAGAATGTGAGTCTTGGGTTAAAGCCTTAGCCTAGAATGTGAGTCTTGGGTTAAAGCCTTAGCCTAGAATGTGACCCTTGGGTTAAAGCCTTAGCCTAGAATGTGAGTCTTGGGTTAAAGCCTTAGCCTGGAGTGTGAGCCTTGGGTTAAAGCCTTAGCCTAGAATGTGACCCTTGGGTTAAAGCCTTAGCCTAGAATGTGAGTCTTGGGTTAAAGCCTTAGCCTAGAATGTGAGTCTTGGGTTAAAGCCTTAGCCTAGAATGTGAGTCTTGGGTTAAAGCCTTAGCCTAGAATGTAAGCCATGGGTTAAAGCCTTAGCCTAGAATGTGAGCCTTGGGTTAAAGCCTCAGCCTAGAATGTAAGCCTTGGGTTAAAGCCTTAGCCTAGAATGTAAGCCTTGGGTTAAAGCCTTAGCCTAGAATGTAAGCCTTGGGTTAAAGCCTTAGCCTAGAATGTAAGCCTTGGGTTAAAGCCTTAGCCTAGAATGTAAGCCTTGGGTTAAAGCCTTAGCCTAGAATGTAAGCCTTGGGTTAAAGCCTTAGCCTAGAATGTAAGCCTTGGGTTAAAGCCTTAGCCTAGAATGTAAGCCTTGGGTTAAAGCCTTAGCCTAGAATGTGACCCTTGGGTTAAAGCCTTAGCCTAGAATGTAAGCCTTGGGTTAAAGCCTTAGCCTGGAATGTGACCCTTGGGTTAAAGCCTTAGCCTAGAATGTGACCCTTGGGTTAAAGCCTTAGCCTAGAATGTGACCCTTGGGTTAAAGCCTAAGCCTAGAATGTAAGCCTTGGGTTAAAGCCTTAGCCTAGAATGTAAGCCTTGGGTTAAAGCCTTAGCCTAGAATGTGACCCTTGGGTTAAAGCCTTAGCCTAGAATGTAAGCCTTGGGTTAAAGCCTTAGCCTAGAATGTGACCCTTGGGTTAAAGCCTTAGCCTAGAATGTAAGCCTTGGGTTAAAGCCTTAGCCTAGAATGTGACCCTTGGGTTAAAGCCTTAGCCTAGAATGTGACCCTTGGGTTAAAGCCTTAGCCTAGAATGTAAGCCTTGGGTTAAAGCCTTAGCCTAGAATGTGACCCTTGGGTTAAAGCCTTAGCCTAGAATGTAAGCCTTGGGTTAAAGCCTTAGCCTAGAATGTGACCCTTGGGTTAAAGCCTTAGCCTAGAATGTGACCCTTGGGTTAAAGCCTTAGCCTAGAATGTAAGCCTTGGGTTAAAGCCTTAGCCTAGAATGTGACCCTTGGGTTAAAGCCTTAGCCTAGAATGTGACCCTTGGGTTAAAGCCTTAGCCTAGAATGTAAGCCTTGGGTTAAAGCCTTAGCCTAGAATGTGACCCTTGGGTTAAAGCCTTAGCCTAGAATGTAAGCCTTGGGTTAAAGCCTTAGCCTAGAATGTGACCCTTGGGTTAAAGCCTTAGCCTAGAATGTGACCCTTGGGTTAAAGCCTTAGCCTAGAATGTAAGCCTTGGGCTAAAGCCTTAGCCTAGAATGTAAACCAGTAACCTCCCTGTTGTGGTCTCCTTCAGAATCAGCGTGACTGACCTGACTTAATTAGACCCCTCACCTCTTTACCTCATTTCCTGAGTGTATATAGACCAACGTTTTGTCTTCACAGTGGCTGTAGTCTCGCTTTGTTTCACACAGCATGTTGACGGGAGCTCTTCTTGGTCGCTCCAGTGGGCACGGGGCTCCCACAAAGGGAACAGGAATTCATAATAACTTACTGTCTTATCATTGATATTGCTGGTTCACAACAAATTGTCTTTAGGGAACTATATATATATTTGAGCCGCTAGTTGAATTAGCACATTTGTTTACGATTGCAATTGATTTGGAGATAATTTGCAGGAGCTGGTATTCCTGATCCCAGCCAAGGTCTCGACAAATGGTCCTCTCCCACCACCACGCTGTTTCTGTTCCGCGACCTGATTGGTTGAATCAGTCATAGTCGCTCCCTGTCGGCTACGGCGATTGGTTGTGAGACTTGACTAATTGGGTGGAGGCAGGAGGTGGGGTGACGGTGGTGGGGACGTTAGCGATTTAGAAAAGTGTGAAGGGTGTCACCCACGTCACAGGGTTTCTGAAGAAAGAGTGGCGTGCCGGTCTGGCGTTACTTAAACGAGGCGTCATTATTACACTGAATAACGGCCTCGTCAGCTCTGTAAAATGTCGGAGAAATAAGAGACTCGTGAACCCTGCTGGAGTAATGACCCCGACGGTGCTGAGGTGCTGAGGACGGCGTTTAGTTGACTGATGTCTGACACCCTCATTGTTTCACACCCACAGTGACGAGGGGTGATGCTGATGTACTCCCCCGTCCTCCCACTCCCTTCTCTATCTCCCTCTTTCTCCCCCTCTCAATCTTCTCTCCACCTCATCTGACAGCATCCCTGACAGCTTACTATCTACTAGCAGTACCCGGACACACGTTACTGTGGCTCAGCAACGCATGTGCGTTCCTGAGCCACAGCAACCTTCTTGTCCCCCCAGTCCTCCCCACCATTCCCCTC